TTTACTGCTAACCAAGGCATAGTTGCAACTCAGCTCGTTGCCATGCAACAGCAGTTTGGTGTCTTTCAGTTAGTACTGGCACAGCTATTAGCCCGAAATAATCCTGGTGATCCACTCATCAACCTACTTAATCCTGCTCCACAACCTCCAGCCCCACCACAAAATCCTGAACCAGTTCAGCATGCTCCTGCTATTAGTGAATCTCAGGGCCAATCTCACTTTGCGCCAGTTCAACAACCCCTTCATGGTGATGTCACTCGACGTCTAGATAGCTTAGAAAAGCTAGTGGTTGAACAACGAGGTGCCCCACCCCCGCACCCTACTGTTGACTCCGTGCCCCACCCTCTCAACACCAATATTATACTGGAACCCTATCCCGCTGGCTTCAGAATACCACAGCTTGAAACTTATGATGGGACGAAGGACCCCAATGATCATTTACATGCTTTCTACTCTTGCATGCAGGCCCATAACGCCTCTGATGCATTGATGTGCAAAATCTTTCCCTCTACTCTCCGAGGTAATGCTCGAACCTGGTACTACAGTCTGCCTCTGAGGTCAATCAACTCTTACAAAGAAATGGCATATGCTTTTGCCACAAAGTTTTCCAGTAGAAGGTTGATCAGGAAAACCACGTCTGAGCTGATGCGAGTTAAGTAGAGGGACGGAGAGTCTTTAAAGAATTTTATGAGCAGATTCAATGATGCAGTACTGGAGATTAACTCTTTCGACCAAGCTGTGGGAATTACAGCTGTGATCTCAAGTCTTAGCCATGAGAGATTCCGAGATAGTTTGCTCAAACATCCTGCTAACACCTTCAGCGAGGTAAATGATAGATCGTTGAAATTCATAACTGCTGAGGAACATGCCCTGTCGCAGAACCTAACTCCTATTAAGAGCCAACACCCGGACTGGAGAGATGAGAATCCGAACAGGAAACGGATGAAGACAACACAGAACCGAGGTCCGATGTCGACTTCCACCCCGAGATTCGGAAGGTCGAACTCAGCACCTCCGCAACAACCTGCAGGTAAACCTCCAGTTAATTGGACTCCTTTTATTTTATCGAGGTCACAAATCTTTATGCAGATTAAGAATAAAATGGACTTACGACGTCCGGGCCCAATGAGAACTACTGCTGCTACCAGAGACCATACTAGGTACTGTGATTTTCATCAAGATCACGGTCATACAACAGAGCAATGCAATAGTCTGAGGTCCGAGCTGGAAAGTCTGGCGCAGAAAGGAATGTTGAATGAGTACATCCAGAGAGTGGAACAGCCAAGGTTTGTTAGAGAACAAGGGCCACAGCATCAAGGAGTCCGCAATCCCCCAAACAAGCAAGGTGTGGGATATCAGCAGGCCCCACCACCACTCCCCCCACCAGCTAGAGTCATACACATGATTACGGGAGGTCTGGAAGCAGGTGGACTGAGCTCTAAGCAACGAAAGTTGTATGTCAGAGAGGTTAAGCACCAGAACCGAGCTCAGAAGCGAAAATTTGACAATGCTGAGTGGAAGAATCAACCCATCACTTTTACATTTGCTGATCTTGAAACAATTGTCACACCTCACAATGATCCTCTAGTCACTTCTGTCACAATCAACAATTGTGA